TAGGTTCTGAATCTGAGTTGTTTCTACATTCATTATTTTGTATCAGTATACTACTGCTGTGATATGAGAGGTATTTAATAAACACTGACACTTGTTTCACTTTACCCTGTTTGCCCTATTCTTTTATTGGTTTGTCCTTCCCGCCTAGATTGTTTTTATTCTAGAGACAACTTAATACTGTTTTAAAAAACAGTGTAAAGGCATTACATAGATGACGGCTTAAGAAAATACTTTCAAGTCCATAAAGTAGCATTTCTTAATTTTTATTGAAGTATTCAAGTTTACGTATATTTTAATGTAAATCCGATATATAATTTTATATTAAACAAACACAGTATTCTGGAAATGAAAAAAGGGAACTTACTTGTTCAATTCTTGCTAGTATAAATATGTCATCCTAGTATAAGAAATACTGAGCTGATCAGAGTTTCAAAATATGGAAAGTCCTATAAAGTAATTTTTCATCTAAGCTATCATCTCAATTCTCTACAGCTTTAGCATCTATTTATTTTGAATATAGTTGATAAAAAGAGATCAGTTATACATAATTTGGAATTTTTCGTTCATCACTCTATTTGGAAAACTGGATTTAGTAAAGTGAGTCACCCTTCTGATGCTTCTCTGCATTTTTTTGAACACAATATCCTATCAATTTGAAGGTTCTAGACAAAATTTCAGGCATTACTGGCATAACCCACTGATGGTGGAAGCCAGAAAATCAGATAATCTCATTTCCTGATTTTTTCTATTTCTAGCAATCTTTTCTGAAGTAGAAAGGAACTGTCTACAGCTCAGGCACGTGACCTGAAGACTCACAGTAAGCTAATAAATAAATTAAAAGGAATTTAACTTTTATAATAGGACAACATTTAAAATAACAGCAAAGATTAAAACGTTGATACTTATATTTTATACTTCCTCTAAACGAGCTGTCTTATACCAAGCACACTACTGAGATGCAGATTATTAAGTAGAAGTCTTAAAAACACCTGAAAAGAATAAAAGCAACAATGTTTTGGGGTTTTTTTTAAATGTTAAATATGGGATACCCTGAGAAGAAAAATCTAGGAATTTAGGTTCATGTAAAATTATCAACAAAATTTGGATACAATAAGCAACCAGTACCAAACCTCCCCCTCCACATCCAGTGTGATTTTATCCACTGGTTCTCTTTCACCCTTCTAATGAGAAAAGAAACATAATTTGGGAGTCTGAAGAAAGTACCTGAATATTAAAAAAAAAAAAAGTAAATCCACATATCTATCTATCTGCAAAGTATATCAAGAATTCATACGCCCTTTTCTGACTGTTTGCTTTTCTATACCTTTTCCATCCTAGTCTCGGAAGCTAATTTAGACCCATTATTTTTGCAAAACATGATTTTCATTGCTATTTATATCTATAGGCATGCCATCAATCACATAGGGAGGAAAAAAAAATATTTCATAAAAAAATCACTCTCAAAATGAAACTAACTTGAGCAAATTGTTGCTAACAATAAAACTGATCTAGGACTTACTGTCAACGTGATTCTGGAATAAAAATGATGGGGCAATAGGTATATTCTAAAGAGTACTTTATTCCTGTGTTTTTTTCTTGTCAGAATACTCAAAGCATTGCTTATTGATCTTCTTTAAGGTTATATTTTGTTATAGCAGGACTACTTGTCGACCACATTCAACCTAAGAGAGAAAACTTCAGTCTATTATACCACACACCAGAGCTGCAATTAAAATACGAAAAAAACACTCAACAGACAATTCATCTGATATATGACCACATGTTTTTTTTTCCTTTTTGGCCATTTTTCAGAAGGTCCAGTTATAATATAGTACAATATGGGAGAATTGTTCCAACAGAACCATCCAAAGCCTGAGCATCGTAATCTCATCCACAGTTACACCAGCTTTACTGTACGTGTGCTGGACAGCAGTGACTTGCATCCCCAAATAAAAAAGTGTCAGGAGGTGGGCTGCTGCCACAAAACACCCTGTCTGAGCTGCACTCCATGTCCTTTTTATTTCTCTATTAATCCCAGGAAAGACGAAGCCAGAAACAGGCTGCAAAAGCTGTCCTGACAGCAGTGACCACATTTTTCCTGGAGAACGGATAAGCTGCCATATAGGGGTACCCAAGCCCTACGCTACAGCACTGCTTCAGGATCGCTAGAGTTAAAATGAATAACGCATTTTCAAGTGTCAAATTTTAGAGAAATGCAGAAAGTAAAACTGGACTAATGAAGGATAAAACACATGTAGTATTATTTAAAGACTATTAACTCAAAATTGTTTGTAACACCACCCTGGTAAGGAAACAGCAGGATCTCTTTATACTGAATTTCTTCTCACATAATAATTAATGTTCACTATGATTAGTCAACATTTCAGCATGTAATATTTTTATTTCAACATTCTTGTACTGCTAATAATGAATATCTTACACCTGCTACTTTTCTTTCACACTGACTGCATGCAACTAATTGATGGTTGAGAACACAGTAAACCTAACCTGGCCTGCTAAAATGAATGGGAAAAAAACCATCCTTACTTGACTTTGGACAAACTCAATTTAGAAGTTAACCTTTCTTTTGACACTGTCTACCAATTATATCACTTTTTGTTTTTCATCCCAAAGCAAAAAACATGTATGAAATGTCTATAGTTACATAATTTAATACAAACATTTGCCTGAAAAGGGATGACATACTCCCAAAGTAGTGTCCATCCAACAGCTGCCAGTTGCCTGGCTCTGTTGTACAATACTATTACTATTTACTGACTTATTTTCAGAAAATGTATTCTACAATCTGCCACAGTCATTGACAAATGCATTCTAAATACAAGAAAATTGCTATATAAACTCCTACGGAAGCTTAATGACACAATGAAACTAAACTTTGCCTGGAGTAAAGGAACATAAATATTTGTCTTTATGTCAATTTTCAAAATGACTACTCCTGAAATAACCTTGCAAGGACCTCTATTTTGATGCAACTGCCCCATAGAATACAAATCATAACATCATTGAAAGCAAATAAAAATAAATATTTATAGGCTAATATAGATCTTCTGTGGTCATTAAGGTTTTTTTGCATTTTGCTGCAAGAAACTCAGATTTTAATCTACCATTACAAGGTGGTAGAAGACAAAAGGGAAATCCTGCAAAAGCTACATTGCTGTTGCATTATACGCACGTAAGGAACATAAAGGTTGTATAACATGTACTACTGCACTGGCTGCAGCTCTGATAATGCACTGGAATGGAAGTAGAGTCTATCTATTTAATTCACTAATTTTTCATCATTATGTTTGAGAAGCACACCCTAACCTTTAACACATGAATTGATGTAAAAATATCCGCATCTCATCATTATTTATAGACTTCTGTACACCTATTTCAGACTAGACCATGAGAGGCCATAAGGGTCACTTCTGCCTATAGGACTATTGAGAATACAGCATTCCTTAAAACTGGTTGTGATGTTTGTATTACATTAGAAGAATATATGGAGAGACTGTAATGGATAAAGTATACAGTATTTAAGAAAGTATTTTCTACATCAAATTATCTACCTTGTCTACTTAAATTGCAAAAACAGAGACTACTGTCTGTTTTATATCTATGTGCAGGCTAGGCTTGCAACTTAAAGACTGACTGAACCTTCATATAGCACAGCAAAAGAAATGCTAAATGACAGGAGATTATTATGATGAAAATAAGAATATTTTCAAATTCCTAAATTAAAACTTTAACCCATATCATCACTGGAAAGGAATTCTTCAATCCAATAGCCAGTCACTCCTGGCTCACTAATCTTTTTCTTGGAAAAATTCAGACGTAGTTTATGATTTCCAGGAAAAAAAAATAAAAAAATCAATAGAGTAAATACTAATCCTAAGTCTTTAAATCCTGGGAGATAACCTAAAAATATTTTGCTTAAAATGCTATATGGAAATTTTTTCTTTATAAGTAACTAACACAAAGCTTCTCCATCTCTGCCAATTTAATCTAGAACAATCAGCATTATTATTATTATTTCTATATTTCTCTTGAAGCACTGGATATTATCTACTATTAGAAACATTCTGTTAGTGGAAGGACATGGTGTCAAAATGACAGAATACAGTAGCTCCTCCTGCACTACTGAATTACATACAGTTTCTGACAAAAATGGGTTCATTAAGAGCACACACTTGTTTCTCCTAGAGAGGATTCAGCTGTTAATATTGGACAAACATTCTTCTAATGAAAGTTTTAGGACAGGATGCTAATCAAATTGATTTGTTTTCAGCATTACGAAGTCCTTCCACCTCAAAACTTTCACCTGAGCACTGTACTAAAGCAGTCCCATGGTTTCTGGACTTTAGTATGATCTTTTCACCAAAAAAGACTGGGTAGACTGACAGTAACATTTTAAATTACTATTCTGTCTCTAAATAAGTATAACAAGAAAAGAAAGGAGGGCTCAGGAATATAGAAGGGAGATTTGATTATAGTCTTAAAATACATAAAATTCTGTTGCAAGAAGGAAAGATATGCAACAATTATTTACATTATTACATTTTTTTTTTATCTGGGTATGTTATGTCCATAGCTAGGTGCTTGGAATGCGAAGCATCCCCTCAACGGTCAACTGAAAAATCTGACTTAACATGTTTGTCCTACCTCAAACTGGGGACACACAACACTTTCTTCCTTACTCAAAACCCTGCCTTGGTATCTGTCACAGATAGACTTACCCTGGAGCTCTGTTATATTGTGCAGCACTCTTATACTGCACTTCTTTGGGTACTACTGATTCGTGCCTGCTTAGGATTTGCTACCATTTAGCTTTTTTGTCTTACAACATACTGGAATTGCTGTAGGTTGCAGTCTATAATATGTATTTTAGTCAAAACAAATACATGTTGATTTGTGATACAGTACAGTAATTGATTTTCCATGGGCTGGAATTGACTGGAACAATGAAAGAATAATTTAGTTCTTTATTTAATTCTTACCTGAGAAGAATATGTGTGACCATCTGATCCACAAACAGGATTGGTATAAACTACTGGACACTGCTTGCAGTTTGATGAAATGGGACCACCCCTCCACTGTTTATGGCCTAAACCAGCCTCTTTCATACTGTAAGTAAACAAAAAGTATGTAATTCTGATATGCAGTAGTAAAAATATAACATATTCAGGGTATTTTAATGAGCCTTTACAAACAGTATGCCATACATCATTTCAGTCATAAAGTTTTCTTCTAAAAAAAGATCCACCACAGTCTTTGGTATACACTCGCTCACCTTTGTACATTACTCACTGTAGTGATACTTGAAACCTGTGTATTATTTCACTTTCTAAGACATCCTAGTAGAAAAAAATTATTAAGACGATACTTTAGTGACTGCTACACTTATTAACCAGTGAAAAATGTCTGACTTGTGTGGTATGTACTTTTTTGTTGTTGTTGTTATTAAATAGTATGAATGGAGCTGTTGTATTAATACTGGTGTTTAAGGAGGTAACATTTAACTATTAGAAAATTATATCATAAACACTTCTATAGAAATAGGTGGTCCTTCAGGCTACTGTTTGCCTCACTTTGACCACTGCCTTTCACAGCTTATATTTCATGAAATTCAGACTCTAGCATCCAACATAAAGTTCATAGGAAAAAAAAAAAAAAAAAGGTAACACACCAGAGCACAGAATTTATCTGCATAAGCACATACATCCATGCTTACACAAACAGATAGATATAACTAGATGGATCATTTTAACCAGAAAAAAACTAAGCTGGGTCAGATTAAAAGTCTAAAATAAGTTTTGGATGCTTCCTCAGAATACTCTCCTAGCCTTCAGTAATTTGTGGCATATGTCCATCCTCAGACAAACATGTTTTCTCTCTGTAGCTTTGAATTATTTTTTATTCGCTCATTTTTCCAATTGATTTTTGCAACTATGAAAGCATTTAGTTATTTAGATGGCTGCATCTTTCTCTTACTTCTTGTCACTTTTATAGCTCACAATTTTCTAGAAGTGCCACAGTAGCCTGAGGTTACCGATAGGACCAGAGTCCCAACTATCAACCTAAGCCAATTTCTGTTTATCTGAGAGACAGTAACTTTAAAATGCTGAATAAACAAATTTCAAAAGTTCCAGAAATCAACAGGGAGAGCCCCAGTGACATCAACAAAAAAAAAGTAACTGGAAGCAGGATTTGAGAGACACATAGGGGCTGTTGGGTGTAGATGCTTAAAACATATCAAAGAAAAGTCTAGTGGTGATTACAGGGTTTTAGCATATCTGCACGCTTGTACATGACAGCAATGAAGTTTAACAACAAGAAAAGACAGGGCAGGGAAAGCCTTTTTAGATGGAGGAAAATGGATAAGTAAAACCATAAAGGAAGGAAAAGTGCATGATGTGCCTCAGGAAGAACCCAAAAGGGGGGAACAAGCTCAGGACATGGAAATCACAGGTCTGTAGCAACCAGTGGAGAGGTATGAAGAAATTGGAAAATATTTTATATAGTCAGGTAGACTACCTTCTCTTAACTAACTTCTGCTTTGTTCGGCTTTTAAATGCAGGCTGTCCTAGGGTACTCATTTGGGGTGAAGAGAGTCAAATTTCCTGTTATACACAGAACTCACCTGAGACCGTCAGCAGATCACTCTTCTCAAAATCTTGATTTCTATATAACTAATAATAATTTTCAACAAAACATAAATATCTATGTTTCCAAACTTGGAATGGAAAGTATAATGATTATTAAATAAATTATAAATAATTGTACTTTGACGGTATCAATCCAGAGATACCTGGTTATGGAAATGCTTTGGATTGACATCTGTTCAGAAGCTTTATTACAATGATGCAGAAACCAGATTCTGTATTATCAAAGCTGCCAAAAAGCTATTTTTTTTTGATTGTCAGTCACTAAGATGACAGGCAAGTATGAAAAGTCAATTTAAACCACTTTTAATACTAGTTATGATATATATGAGCCTTTCATAAAATATATTAGCAATGTCTCTTACTTATATACTCAAACATTTCCTTTCATCATTATTTAATTGCATCAGATTTGTTCCTGTTGACTGTTTCTTTGTTACCAGGTGTTGTATTTGGTTTTTTTACAGCTAGTCAGTGAGCATACATATGAACTATTGACATAGAAATGCGATCATTGGTGTAAGTCCACAACATCAGAAAATAAGATCTGAAAGACTGGTTAACTACAGCATAAATAATTTGTTATAATTTACTTGAGATATGCAGATAAAGCGATATATTTTTACCTTTTAAAATCTTAGAGAGGAAAACAAATAGTAAAGAAATAAACTACTTCACTTTGAGAAATCATTTTCTTCTTCTCTTCATTTATTATTTTTCAATTTTATATGCAAGAAGAAAATCCAGAACACTGTAACTTGCCATTACTAAAATTCTGCCATTTAATTTTGCAATTCCACTGCAATCACGATAAATGTTCTTGCATTCGTTAGTATTTTGCCACAATAAATATCATAAAAATTTACATCACGTAAAAGTCAACCTCTTCCAATGACAAATTTTATACATCTAAATTTCCTGAAAAGGGCTTTGGGATCTTTCAAGTAATAAAATAACTATTACTGAATACACAAGCTCCGCCTTATCTGACACTGTTGACACCTAAAGGGCAAAATTAAATATATGGGTTTAATTTACCAGCAACGCTTGTGATTGCATTAATTTTCATACACCAAATTGTACATATGCTTTTAGACTGCATATGCAACTGCATGCCTAGAAACATAATTAGCCAATCTGCCCAATTACTCTAGCCTATGTACCTGTTTGCATACATAAACTTACCTTCCTGTATACACAGTGATCATGCCTGCAAATACTTTGAGAATGCTTAATATAACCCATTGAAAATTTAGCTGCAAGCAACTCTTTAGTAACATGACTTGTTTAATGATATCTATAAAATGCATAAGTGTCCAATTCACTTGGAAAAAAATGATATTTTGTAGTTAGGTTTGAGAATCTTCAAACACAGGTCTTCAAATACAGACTGACAGAAACAAATCTGAGTTACTAAAAACCTAATCTTTCAAGTAACTCTTGTAGTTCTTCTCTGATAACTACATTTGCATTTTTCAGATCTTTTATAATTATTCCAATTTAGTGACTGCTTGATTATGTTTTGCCATGGCCTTTGGGGGACACAATCATGCTGTGTCAGTCTAATATCTTCAGAAAAATCACTTGTATTGCAAAATCTAATTTGCTTTCATTAGAGTTGACTAAATTTCCTTTAAAGTTCCCTTTTCATGTGGAAGCATCCTGGAAGAAAACTATAGCTGTCAATACATTGTTGAGATGTTTCAAATGTCAAAAGAAATCAAGACATTATTGCCAGTCTCTGTGTGTGTACTGTGTGGGTATTATTTTGACTTGTTTCATTATTTTGCCCTATTCCTAAGAAATACAAGAAAAATCTGTCTTAAGAAACAAATAATAATTGAGTAAATCTGAGACAAATAAAGCAAAGGTTAATAGAGTTAGTATGAAAATCAAAATACAACACATTTTAGCAACTTTAAACTAACAGTGTTGGCAAGACATTTGTATTTATTGACAGATCATCATAATGTTTAGCAGATGCATGTGAGATTCTATAAATTTAGCTATTATTTTTCCCCAGCATCTGCACCCAAGGCATAAGATTAGAAAATTATGTATGATGTATCATTTCTGTCAGGATCACTAAGCATACACACTTAGTATTATTTCAGAGTTTAGAAGAGTATTTCTTTCTCTGTGTGTAAAAAGAAAATACTATTTACTCATTTGCACTGTAAAAGGAAAACATATCTTAAAGATACAAATCCTTAATACCTCCTTCCACCTACATTTATTATTAAAAGGTAAGTTTACACTGTAAGGTAGTTTCTTGCCTTGTTGTCATATTGTTCCATTATTTTCAGTATGATTCTGCCTATTTTTGCCAAGCAAAGAAACCAGTATTTTATTCTAAATGTCTACATAATAACAGTCTTATGTATTTTAAAAAAAATGTTTTAAGTAATATTGCTGAAGTTACCTGGAATAGTATTTGCTTCATTTTGATTGAATGAAGTAAGTTAGTATAGCATTTTAAAAAGACAAGAAAGCAAAGAATACATAGCAACACAGAAATGAGTTTTCTCATCACTTATCTGGAGTTGCTTGAGAGGTGAAAGGAACCTAATACACAAACAGCTGAATGCAGTGCTCATGCCAACCTTCTTTTCCATCACGTTGGCAAATGATAAAGGCATATCAAGGAGTAATTTGTTAGAAATTAATATGTAAACCACTGGGGAGGGCAGTGGTGAAGATATGAGATGTTAAAGTATAAAAAGTGCCTATTAGATATATCAATACTGTATGAAAAAAGAAATAAAGAAAATCCAAATTACCTAAATGAAGGGGAAAAAAAAAAAGAGACTTTGGATACCTAATTGGTAGGTAATGGGCAAATAAAGGGAAATAAAACCTGGCTTAGACTTAGGAAAAAAAAAAAAAAAAAAAAAAAGTAATCAGAGATGTTTTTACCAAGGGCCCTAACTTCCAGATGGTAGTCGTGTTAAAAAAGCTAGTTCATGGTAAGAGAACTCTACTGAAATCTGAAGGAAAAGTTGACCTTTGTAGAAAAGGTTCCAAATATTCTTTCAAAATTGTAAGAGGCAATAGCTCTTTTGAGTTCAATATCTCAGATTTCACCACTCTCAGGTGTAGCTACTCCTTAAAAAGTTCCGATTAAAAACTTTTGTTTTAGTTAAAGATCAAAGACACAAAAAGGATGTTCAAATATTGCCTAGAGATAATAACAGAATATAGAATTGTTAAAGGATTAAAAATATGGTTGTACTAAAAGAGACAGCAAGTAACTGCATCAGAATCCTGCCCTCTTCCCTCCATAGGGATAAATTTTTTTCCGTCCCAGCTGACGCTATTCCTAAACACCCTAGGAAAATTAGTAAAATCTAGATGGCACAAATGAACACATTCTTCATACTCCTCCTGTCTTTCACTTAACCTTCCAGCACAGACCACAGACTAGAGTGAAAGCACTCTTATCTCTGTAGAGTCCCCACTCTAGA